CTGCAAGCAGTGGACAAAGCAAGCGGCTGCCAAACAACTTTGTAAGGGAGCATTGCACAATTTTAAATGAGCATGTTGCCTAATTGATCAGCAACAAAACAATGTTAACCGGGACGACTTTAAGTGAGGAGTTACTGTAGTCTGAAAGAAAAACCAGTTTCCATAGTGGAGGCTGAATAGCAGCTCTCAGGTCCATGTCCAGCGTGCTCAAATCACATCCAATTGGGTTCTTTTTGGTGTAGGAATTTCTGTTTGCTTAGCCTGGCTTTTTAGTTTATTTAGTGGATTTAATTACCAACGTACAGAATAGGGTTCAAGACATAAGCCCAATACTGGGTTTACAATGGCGCTGTGGTGGTGGGCCCACAGTCACAAGGGGCCCCGGCGCCCAGACCGTGGCCTTGCATCCCCCACTTCGCCCACGAGACCCCGCCCCGCTCAGCCTCTTCCCCCCGAGACCCCACTCACTCCTCTCCACCCCCTTCTCCCCCAGTCCCCTGCTCACTCCTCTCCGCCCCCTCCTCCCTGTGTGAGTGGCAGGTGGGACCTTTGGGGGGAAGAGGCTAAGCAGGGACAGGGCCTCAGAGGGAACAGGCCGAGTGGGGGCGGGACCTCGGGGTGCGGGGGGGGGAAGGCCAAGCGGGGGCAGGGCCTCGGGATGGAGCACGGGGCGGGGCCACTCTCCGGGCGCCAGGGCTCACAAAAGATTAATCTGGCCCTGCATAAGCCAGTCCTTAATTGAAGGGGGGGAAGAAACTTTCCACATGGGCTGATTCTTCCATAACTGCTTGATATGGGGTTTCTTGCACATTTCTCTAAAGCAGTGGTTCTCAAACGGATCCTCAGACCCCTGGGGGTCTGCAAGGGTACTCCAGGGAGTCCGCGAGCCCCTGCTGATCAACTCCTCCCCCTCCCTCCCAGTGCCTCTTGCACGCCGCAGAACAGCTGTTCCGTGGCGTGCAGGAGGCGCTGGGAGGGAGGGGGAGAAGCAGGATCAGCAGGGGCTCCCGGGCCCCCCCGGGGACCCCCTCCGACCCCCCGGGGGGTCGG